ATTTGCTAAATTAAGCTAAATAAATGCTGCTTTTCCCTGCTGCTTTCTTATATTGCAAGTGAGGATTCCTGCATGCATTAGGAAGAAATGGCAAGAATACGAATCATCATCTTGGCAGGATGTTTCACAGCAATTTTCGGCCTGAAGAGCTCCAAGTATTGTAGAAATGGAATATCTTAGTGTTGGAGTACAGCAGTCTGCTCCTTAAACAACAGCAGGAGAGGAAAATATTTTTAAAAGCAGAATTAACTATTTGTGAAAGTTACAGGTTTGTTTCCTGTTCTTTTTTGCTTTTATTAACCAAAACCTCATCTGAATAATACACAATATTTTTCAGGCTCTTTTGTGCATCAGTCATTTAAAGACCAATGTGGTCATTCAGACCCTGGACTAAGGGTGCTCATGAAGGGCAGGAATCTGTTATAGTCATTAACAAATGTGCATTAAAAAATAGGTGGGTCACAGCCCTCCACCAAGTGGGCAAAAGGTTGGATGGTGAAATGTGCTGGGCATTTAAAATGTTTGTGGCATCTTTCTGTAAACAGTTGAAGTTGCAATCCCTGCAGTTGCTGTTCCTGCTTGCAGGTGTGAAATTGTGTTTATAGGGAAGTGCTACTGCACGACTGAACTCTTCAGAACACGGATGGATGAAACAAAGCAAAGTATTTAATGACCTGCAGTCCACAGATGGTCCGTGCCCAGCCCAGCCCCGTGTGAGCTACGCTGGAAACAGCAGCTGTCCCCTCTGCAGTCAGCAGGGACACAGAACTTGTAATACATCCATCTAACAGCCCTCAAACTGGACTCTGGATGGATTGCAGCGTGAGGTGGAGTGGAGGTGATGGAGTCACCGCCCCTGGAGGTGTTTGAGTGGCACTGGATGTGGCACTCAGTGCCACGCTCCGTTTGACGAGGTGGCGTTGGTCATGGCTTGGGCTCGGTGACCCCAGACGTGCTTTCCAACCCAAGTGAGCCTGTGTGTGTACTTTTGACACAGAAGACACCACACTCCTCTATCCGAGCGGCAGTGATGGAAGCACCGGTAATATTTACCCGCTTCCAGGGGTGTGCAGCGCCATACGCGTGTGCCCTCACCCGCCTCACCTCTGCCCGCCCGCCCCACAAAATGGCGGCGGCCGCGCGGCCCCGACCCTCGGCGGCGGGAGGGGCCTCGGCGGCCCCGCCCCGCGCG